GGGGGGGGACCTCCTGAGGGCACCTGGTATTTTTGGCCACTGTGTGACACAGAGGGTTGGCCTGGATGGGCCATTGGCCATCATGATCCAACATGGCTTCTCTTACGTTCTTATATCTGGGGCACTGATGCTCTGTCTTCTTGGTGCTTGAGGGGAAACCGTGGGAGGGCTTCTGGATTTCTGGCCCCACCGGTGGACCTCCTGATGGCCCCTGGGTTTTGGCCACTGTGTGACACAGAGTGTTGGGCTGGATGGGCCATTGACCTAATCCAACATGGCTTCTCTTACGTTCTTATAATCTGGGGCAGTGATGCTCTGTCTTCTTGGTGCTTGGGGGGCAAGAGTGGGAGGGCTTCTGGAGTTCTGGCCCCACCGGTGGACCTCCTGATGGCCCCTGGGTTTTGGCCACTGTGTGACACAGAGTGTTGGGCTGGACGGGCCATTGGCCTGATCCAACATGGCTTCTCTTACATTCTTATATCGGGGGCAGTGATGCTCCGTCTTCTTGGTGCTTGGGGGGAGGCAACGCTGGGAGGGCTTCTGGAGTTCTGGCCCCGCCGGCGGACCTCCTGATGGCCCCTGGGTTTGGGCCACTGTGTGACACAGAGTGTTGGCCTGGATTGGCCGTTGGCCTGGTCCAACATGGCTTCTCTCTTACGTACTCATGACCACGAAGGCACGATTCCCTCATCTGCTGAGGAGAGGGGGGGCTGCTCTCTCGAAGCCAGGAGGGATCTCTGAAGCTCTCTCCCCTCCCCTTCTCGTTGCAGACCCCTCCCGCAGCCTGCCTGACTTTGCGGAATTGGACCTGCAGGGGAAGACCTTCCCGGAGGGCATCGGGGCCGAGGACGTGAGAGCTTTCCAGTTGCTGTCATAAGCGCATTGCGAGGTGTGTGTGTGTGTGTGTGTGTGTGGGTAGCCTCTCTGGAAGGGGGGGCGTGTTTCTTGGGCGGGGTGGGCAAGGAGGCCTGGCAGGACTCCGGCCGCCTGAAGAGCGCAGTGGAAACGGAACGGGAAGCATTTCGGTAGAGTTGAGTCTCCCTTCCCGAATGCTTCCCCTTCTCATATAAGAAGCAGAGGAGGTTTTTATACCCCACCTTCCCCTACTTTACGAAGTCTCAAAGCATCTTATGATCGCTTTCCCCTCCTCTCCTCTCCTCACAACAGGCCCCTTGTGAGGCAGGTGGGGCTGAGACAGTCCTGAGAGAACTGTGACTGGCCCAAGGTCGCCCAGCAGGCCTCATGAGTCTCAAAGTAGCTTACAGTTTGGTGTCGTGGTTAAGTGTGCGGACTCTAATCTGGGAGAACTGGGTTTGATTCCCCACTCCTCCACTCGCACCTGCTGGTGTGACTTTGGGCAAGCCATAGTTCTGGCGCAGCTATTCTTGAAAAAGAGCAGTCTCTGTCAAGAGCTCTCTCAGCCCCACCTGCCTCACAGGGTGTCTGTTGTGGGGAGGGGAAGGGAAAGGAGTTTGTAAAGCCGCTCTGAGACTCCCTTGGGTAGTGAAGGGTGGGGTATAAATCCAATCTCTTCTCCTCTTCCTCCTCCTCTTCTTCTTCTTCTTCTTCCATTTTTCTCAGGGGAACTGATCTCTGTCATCTGAAGAAGCGTTATAAACAAGGCTCCCTCTAAGCTGTGGAGTCTTGTGAGCAAAAATTCAGCTTTGTGAGCTCCTGGCATCAAAGCTGTGTGCATAAATCTTCCGAAGAAGCCTTCCTGTCCCAGAGGAATGTCCTTGAAACTTTTGGTGCCCGCTTGCTTGGTGTCGTGGTTAACTGCACGGACTCTAATCTGGGAGGACCGGGTTTGATTCCCCACTCCTGCACTCGCACCTGCTGGATGACCTTGGGCAAGCCACAGTTCTGGCACAGCTGTTCTTGAAAAAGAGCAGTTTCTCTCAGAGCTCTCTTAGTCCTGCCTACCTCCCAGGGTGTCTGTTGTGGGGAGGGGAAGGGAAAGGAGTTTGTAAGCCGCTCTGAGACTCCTCTGGGTAGTGAAGGGCAGGGTACAAATCCAATCTCCTCCTCCTCCTACACTCGCTTTCCCTTCTTCTCCCCACAACAGACCCCTTGTGAGCCAGGTGGAGCTGAGAGAGCCCTGAGAGAACGGTGACTGGCCCAAGGTCACCCAGCAGCTGGCTTCACGTGGAGGGAAGAGTAGGGGACCAAACTCGGCTCTCCAGTTTAGAGCTTGCCGCTCTTAACCACTACGCCGCACTGCTGCAGGCTCTCCTGCCAGCCATTCCACAACTCCTTGGCAAATACCACTGCGATCTCATTTGGGGGCGGGCCTCAGTCATTATTACTCAGTCGCTTGAACACGGATCTCCCAGTCATTCATGATTGTTCTTCTCTTTGCCAGCACGGGAGCCTGGTGTTTAGAACTCAGACCCCCCCCCCAAAAAAATAGGCAGAGACTAAGGCCCAAACCAAGGAAGTGTTTGTGCAGATTTCTGACCACTCAAAAGTACATTTATTTATTTACTTGCTTCATTAATATGCCATCTTTCTCTCCAAAGCAGCTTACGTCATCCTCCTCTCTTCCCATTTTATCCTCACGATGACCCTGTGAGGTAAGGCTAGGCAGAGAGTGCGTGACTGGCCCAAGGTCACCCTGCCAGCTTCCATGGCAGAGTGGGGGTTCGAACCAGGGTCTCCCGGATCCTAGTCAAAGCCCTCTAACCACTGTACTCTAGCTGGCTTTCATAAAGCATGATGGGAATACAGAAGTCACTTTCCACCTCCCATATATGTGTTAAAGATTTCAGTTTATTGTAGTATAAATCTCTGTGGCAGATACAAAAAGGGTGAATGTGGACAATCGCAACCTGATCAGAGAAGAAATGTAAAGCAAACAGTCGTGAGAGTCCGACCCACAGGTCAAGCAGTCAACAAGACTTGCAAAGAAAATGCTTTCTGTATATTATGGTCCACAAGCACTACAACACAGTAAACAAATTCCTTCAAATCATAAGAAAATCCTACTGTGAAAATTCATCGTCAGTGTCTTCTCCAGATTATATAACGACGTTTCAAAATTGGATCTTCCTCAGGAAATGTTAGAGTAGTAGAGGTCAGACTCTCACGACTGTTTTCTTTACATTTGTTCTCAGATATATAAAGGGGACAGATTAGCCTAGTTTTAAGCAGTGCCACAATTGTAGGTGGGAATTCCTGGTCTACAGCGGCCACGTTTTTGTTTGGTGTAGCGGTTAGGAGCGCGGACTTTAATCTGGGAGAACCGGGTTTGATTCCCCACTCCTCCACTTGCGGCTGCTGGTGTGACCTTGAGCCAGTCACAGGTTTTCTCAGAGCTGTTCTCTCAAGGGCAGTCCTCAAAAGAGCTCTCTCAGCCCCACCCGCCTCACAGGGTGCCTGTTGTGGGGAGGGGAAGGGAAAGGAGTTTGTCAGCCGCTCTGAGACTCCTTCAGGTGGTGAAGGGCGGGGTATAAATGCAATCTCTTCTACTTTGTGGTGGGGAGAGACTTAAAGCCAAATCCTTTGTACATACAGCTTTTAGGACCGCGTCTCTTCCTCCTTGTCCTCCTCAGGCCATTGTTGACGTGATGATCAACCTTCAGTTCACGCTGGTGGAGACACTCTGGAAGACCTTCTGGAGGTACAACATGAACCAGCCGAGCGAAGCCACCGCGATCGTCATGTGAGTCCGGGCGGGGGCGGGCGTGTGGCGAAAGCGCGTGGGGCTGGGAAAGCGCTTGGCTGAGAACACCTCCCAACATCGGGGGCCGTTGGCACTCAGCCGCCCCTCCCCCACTTGGCCGCTACCTGGCTCAGGAGGACTGCTTCTCACCCACTGGAAGGCGATCATCGTGTGTTGGCCTTACCACGGAACCACCGTCCCTCCATTTAAGTAATTCACTTATTCCATCAAGGTCAGTCTTGTCTGCTCAGACCGGCAGCCGCTCCCCGGGGTCTCAGGCAGAGGAAGGTCTTTCCCATCGCGTGCTGCCTGGTCCTTTCGGCTGGAGGTGCCAGAGATTGAACCCGGGACCTTCTGTGTGCCAAGCACAGCTTGAGACAGCAGGGGGCTATTCATGTGCGCCAGAGCAGCACCCTCGTACTCGGGACTTGACTTTTTTTTGCACATGTCCAAAGTCCAGCTTGGACTTGCACGTTTGATCTCAGACCCAAGACTTTGCTCAGTCTCCTGTGTCAGCCTCTGCCCCAGATGCCGGCTTCCTTTATCTCAGCCTCTTTGAGTGTCCCCACGTACTGTGGGAGGGGCTGTGTGTCAGGAGACACTCACCCGGCCATCCCACCAGCCTGGGATTCCAAAGGACGGTGAGGAAGATGGTTGGGTCACCGACACTGAGGACCCACACCCACCACATATCGAGGCACTAAAGGGGCGCGCCAGGGACCGGGTGTGCCTCCCGGCATTGAAGGGGCACCAGGAGGATCCAGTAGAGCCAGCAGCTCTCCAACCCGTGATTCACCGGCAACTAAAGGGGGATGAACCAATAGGCTTGGCCCCGGGACCCAACGCTGGAATACTCGAGACGAAGGAGGATGGTTACCTGCTGGCAAATACCAGCAGCCGGCCGGCCCTTTAACTAATTTACTCTGAAGTGAGGCAGGTGTTAAGAGGGGAATAAAGAGGAGGGCGATCTGCATACCCCGGGGAGGATAGAGTCGAGGTCGGGGCTGTAAGCAGGGAACAAGCTGTGAAAGGGTGGCTCCCAAGGAGGTGTCGGGGGAGAGAGAGAGGGAGCACGGAATACTTGGCCTGTGAACCCGACCTCAACAGGGTCCACCTTGTGAGGGAACCTAGGTGAAACCGAGGAGTCTGAGGGAATGTGCCACCAAGCCTCGATTTTCCCTTCAGACACACGCCCCACTAACCTCAACCCCTGAGAGCGGAGTGGACTCGTGACACTGTGGCTCGGCGACAGAGCCTCTGCTTGGCACGCAGAAGGTCCCAGGTTCAATCCTTGATATCTCCAGTTGGAAGGGCCAAGGCGGTAGGTGAGGTGTGAAGGACTCTCTCTCTGCCTGAGACCCTGGAGAGCGGCTGCCAGTCAGAGTAGACAATACCGTCCATGATGAACCCAGGGTCTGATTCAGTATAAGGCAACCTCACGAGCTGGTTCGAAAGCACCTTTGCTCCAGAATTTGCCATCCTGACCTGTATCAGAATGAACGAAGCCCTCTGCTCTTCTGATGTTGGTTGATTCAGGCGGCCCAGACCCTTGGGGCTTCCGTTACCGTAACACCAAAAAGCCCAGTAGCAGCTTTAAGACGAACAAACTTCATTGCAGCATAAGCTTTCGAGAAACACAGCTCACTTCGTCAGATGCATCTGACGAAGAGAGCTGTGTTTCTCGAAAGCTTACGCTATGATACAGTTTGTTAGTCTTAAAGCTGCTACTGGGCTTTTTACTATTTTTCATCGACAGGCTAACACGGCTAAACTCCTCCGGATCTGTTACCATAACAGTGCATCAGCGCTAAATTTAGGGATCATAAATGATCCGGGGGGGGGGGGTGGTGTACACC